TATCTATCTATCTATCTATCTATCTATCTATCTATCTATCTATCTATCTATCTATCTATCTATCTATCTATCTATCTATCTATCTATCTATCTATCTATCTATCTATCTATCTAAAAGCCCATACAGAAAATGAAGCAATGTTTTTTCTTTACGGTTGTAAATGTTACTATTTTGGTGGGAAACCGAGCACTAAGGACTAGAACCACGTCCTGCTGAATAGGGAAAAACTTTCTAACTGTTAGAGCAGTATGGCAACGCAACTAATTACCTTGAGAGGTGGCGAGTGCTTGAGGCATTCAAAAAAGACTTAGACAACCAGCTGGCAGATATCTTTTGATGTGTATTCCTGCATTGAGCAAGGGGTTGGACACGATGGCCTTAAAGATCCCTCCCAAGTTCATTATTCTGTGATTCTGTGAAGTGTTGAATCTCTTGATGTTGAGTCATCAGGTCGCAACTTGTTTGGAAGGCTTTTTGTCAAGGTGCCACCAGAGGGCTCTTCCCTGCTTGACCAAGCATTACTGTCTCCTCATTACTTGACCTCCTTTTCCATGCCCAATCCACACAATCGTTCAGATGAAGAGCCCAAAGAAACTGGAGAATTCTCCCATCTCCTCACTTTCCTCATTGCTGATATATTCACAGAAGGCAAAGTAAAAGGGCAGGAAGAGGAAGGAGGAGCAGGAGTCTAGACTCAAGGTGGGCAAAAGCCTCCATCCAGACGTTGTTGGTCCCCGTCAGCATAACCATTGATGAGGAAATCCTGGGAGCTGCAGTCTAACTATACTGAAGGGCCAAACTTTGCCCACCACAGATGTAGAAAATTGGCAGTGGGCCTTCAGCAAGGATGTAGGCCTTGGTAGACGCCTCATGATGCTCACCTTGTTGCTGTCTTTGGAGAGATATTAATGACAAAGAAGCAACATTATTCCTTGATGCTTCTGTAAACCTGCAGCAATACTGATCTCAACTATCTTTTATCCATTATAGCAGTACTTGTTTGTCTTCCTCCCACCCCCTTAAAGGACTTGGTCTTTTTCTCTTGTTGGTACCTGCTGATTTAGCTTTCGTCTGGAGCAGAGATGAGCTAGAAAGATTAGAGAAGGAGAATTACACACACAGTGAGACCTGGTCTTGCTAGGTCTTTCCAAACTGCAGTTCCGTAATGCAGAGATTTATCGATTAGGGATTTATTGGAACACTCATTCAATTTAGACAAGGCACGGATTTTTGGAAAACAGTAGACTAGGCAGTTGTTCTTTGAAATACTTTTTTAAGGACAAATAAGTGTAAATGTCACTAAATAAATATTCTCAGACTCTTTAAATGGAACTCAGACTGTTAAAGATGGTAAGAAAAAACATTAATATTTTCACTTGGTGGTTTCTTTGTTTGTTTGTTTTTTAATCCCTCTTGCAGGTTTTGGCCCACCTTTTAGACATGGTTTTCTACAGTGATGAAAAAGAGAGAGTTATTCCACTTCTTGTAAATATAATGCACTATGTTGTGCCTTACCTTCGCAATCACAGGTACCTCAGCATTTCTCCGTTCAACTGTATGCTTAACTATGGAATACCGTTTCAGTGAAGCTGTCCTTACAATTTGCACACCATTCTCAAAATCCCAGTAAATATTTCCCATAAAAGATGTTGGCAGCTGATTCTACTCTTCAGAGTTGAAGAGGTAACAATCACTGATCACCTTCCAGTCATAGTATATTATGGTCCTGTTTAACACAGAGTAAATCTCTGCTTCCCTAACGAAGTTTTACTACCCTTTGCTGCTTCAAACTTGTTTTTCTAGTGTCGTACCTGCACCTGTTACTGTCTACCCCCTTTTCAAAAGAGTGCCACATATGCACAAGAATGGTAACCCATAATATTTATTATCACAAAAGTGCTGCTTAAATTCAGTTTCCTTCTGTTTATTGGCCTCATTGAGATACTTTGCATTTCCCTAGGCTGGAAATAGTTGTAGCTTGGTTTTTAACAACTATGTTGCAGCTTTCCCTGCTACATTAGTTAATGTTCCTAAGTGAACTGAGTCACTATCCAAAGCTTTATACTTAAAAAGAAAGAATTAAGAGAGAGAGAGAGATTACAGCAGTTACTTTTGGGGCACAATTTCCAGGATCACCCAACCAGTGTAGCCACTTTTGCAGTCCAAGCCCGCCCACCCACCCCTCAAAAAAACTTTTCCAAGCTTTAAAAATTCTTGTTGTAGATCCGTTATATTATGAAATGTCTGTGATTTATGACATTTTTAAAAACTGTAAAAAAAATTTAAGCATTTTTAGTAAGATACCAAAGGCTTGAGCACATGACAGACACAATTAGGAAGCCTTCACAGGGGATCGGGGAATGATGACCCTCCAGAAGTTGATAAACCACAGCTTCCTGCATCCATCACCCACTGTTTGGGCTGGTCTGTTCGTGACTGAAGACCATCAGAAACTAACAACATTGAAGGGTCACAGTGTCCCCAGCAGCATTCTAGGTGGCGCTAATGAGGGTCCAGCCCCCTGGGGCCGGATGGTCCACTCACCAATCCTCTGCTGATGTGGACAGTGCGATTCTACCAATGGCTCCACAGTGCGCAATCCACTTGCTGGTGTCAGGAGGCAGGAGGACAAGCCTCACTGCAAGGTCGAAGACTGGCGAGCAGATTGCGCGCTGCGAGGCCATTGGTAGAATCATGCTGCCCATGTCAGATCGGTGAGTGGACCATCTGTCCCCATGGGGCTGGACCTCCATTAATGCCACCTGTGCAGGAATATTCGTATACGAATACAAATACCCCCATTTCTACATTCCACATATAGAGTCCAACTGGACAGACCATTAAGATTGTATTCCCTAGTCCACCTTAGACAGCAGCCTATTTCAGGGGGGCTAAGAAAGAACATGAGGCTTATGCAATGGGTAGGAAGGGTTTACAAGGTGCTTAGAAGGAACAACTGCTGATTTACCACTGCTGCCCTCAGCATTTCCTCCCAGAGCCATTTGCTTCATGCTCCCTGAGGCTGATTGTTGAATCTTAAAAATGCCAGCCTCCTGTTGTCCTTCCAGTAGCAGACAGAGATATTTCTGTTCAGACAAGCATTGGGACCTGACTGGATCCCAAGGAAGGGATTCTCTGTGTATATGGGGGTGTTACATCTTGCCTTTTCTGATTTCCTTTTAAATAGTTTTAATCCCATAGTTGGTTAGTACAATAATGTGTTCAGTTGAATTTTTTTTATTGTAACATGTTGTGTTCTTAGCTGCATCTTTTTGAAACATTTTTGTAAGCTGCCTCGGTTCCTATTTTGGGAGAAAAGTGGAACAATAAATAAACAAACTGTACGCATGTGCAAGTCAGTTCTGCATATAAATGGAATGGAGTAGTGGTGAATTAACTTCCCTTTTGGAGGTTGGAGGTTAATTGCTTCATACGGAGAAATTCTGCTCTGGAGGGTTACATTCGGGAATGGCTTTTAGAAAGAAGCGACAGGCGGCAGCAGGCAGGGATTCTGTGGGTTTTATGCCTGGCCTGTTGGAGCCTAGTAAAAATCGTAACGAATAATCTTAAAAGATTGTAGCATTTTCAGATTCTCTGTCAGAGGAATTCAAACATTCAGGATTGTTAATTCTTCTGGCCTGGGTTGCTTTTCCTCTTCCAGTGCCCATAATGCGCCAAGTTATCGAGCCTGTGTGCAGCTATTAAGCAGCCTCAGTGGGTATCAGTACACAAGGAGAGCATGGAAAAAAGAAGCCTTTGACCTCTTTATGGACCCCACCTTCTTTCAAATGGATGCTTCCTGTGTTAACCAGTAAGGATTTTTATTGCTTACGTTTGATATTGGTAAATGAAATGGACTACCTTCCCAGCTTAATGCTGTTTACTAGCGGAAATGGTTGCAGCATCTAAGTTGAGGAAGGTTACCCTAAGCCAAAACCACCAACAAAACACTCTAGCAATGCACTTTGCATAAAACCAGATTTCCCTCCCACACTCATAGACCTTTCTTGGGGTCCCAGTGTTATAGGCCAGCAGCAACTTTATGGACCCTCGCCCATCTGGCTTGGTAGCATCTGTCTGTAGACTGGATGCCGACCAGCAGCACCCCATGAGGGTTCCCTGCAGACATCTTTCCCTGGCCTTTCCTAAAGGTGCTGGAGATTGGACCTCGGGAGGGTTTTGTGTGCAAAGCAGAGCCCTGCCACTGAGTTCTCCACTTTTGCCCCTCATGCCCCAAGCAACTCTTCAGCTCTTACAGGTTGCACAACTCCCCTTTCAATTCCTTGCTTAAACATGATGCCAGTCACATATTTTCCCAGTACTAATTGGTAGCTGGAACTGTCTGGTCAGTGATGCTGGTTCCACAATTTTCAAATACTGAGATTCAAAGGGAAAAGCAAGGTTTCTGCAAATATCATTGAGTCAGGGAGAGGTTCTCCTACAGCCCTTATTATCTTGTGATCAAGCTTCCATTCACACCCCTCTTCCCGTCTATGACTGCTGAACATCTACTTAATGATCTGTCTTGTTTTGATTCATGCGACAGAATGATGAACCGGGATGTTTCAGCTGTTTACTTGAAAATAAACTACCACACCCTAACAATGACATTTTTTTCTTTTTTCAGTTGGCGAGCAATTATGGATAATTTGATGACACATGACAAAACCACATTTAGAGATTTGATGAGTGAGTTCTGGCTTTAATGTTATGTGGAAGATTTACAGATGCTTGCATGTCTAGAAATTGGTCTAATAACATTAGCTACCAAGGTGTCGCGGTTTGGCTCTTTTACATGTTTTCCTGCTTTGTGAGGGGGCTGGACTCAAAGACCCATGCAGTCCTTTCTGCCTGTGCAGTTCTGTAATTGTAAAAATGGCTTAGCTGTGTCAGAAAGGAGCTTTTATATAGCTGCCTCTGGAGAAGGACACATAGCAAGGATAAAACCTTTGCGCCATAACTTGGTGAAAGTTGGTGAATGTGATTTGATTCCTTTTTAAAAAAAATAATCAGTAATTTGTGAATTGCTATTTGGATTCTTCCTCACATTTTCTCCTTCTCTACTTCAACAGATGCCATTTTACTTTTTGTATGTGAGATTTAACTGCTCTGTAAAACACAAAAATGTCATGTCTTGATGCAGAAAGGCATTTTTTCTGGAACCAGCCCAAAAAGAAAGTGATTAAAATCTCTGAAATGGGTTCAGAGAAAGTTCTTAACCTCACAAAATTGCAAAGAATATTTAATTATAGTGCTTACTGGAGGATCTAACCGTGTTAGATTTCTACTACATATTCTCCCCAACTTCAGAATAATTATGACAAACTCTCAAAGATACTGTCATTTACTCGTATATGTTTCTTACAGAGGATCTTCATATTATAAATTGCATCTGGTATACTGTATGTGTGCAAAATGGGAAAGTATAATCTAGAAACTGACAGTCTTGGCAGCCTTCTAATTAATGGCTTTTAGTAACCTAGTTTAGGTGATCTTTTATGCCAAGATCCAGTGGAGTGCTTTGTTATCCCAAATTAGCAGAACTGAGATTTTCTGCCCCTCCTTGCTCCAGGTACAGTCCTCCGCAGTGTGAAAAGACCTGCCGCAGACCTGCTATTAGGAGTTTTTCTAGGGTGCATGGCAGATATGTGTGTGCGAGAGAGGGGGGGAGGGGGAGAGAGCAGTGGAATTTGGGGAAAGTTCACTGCTGGATTATAGCCTTGGCCAGGAGGGTTTCCTTCACAGCCAACACCTTCACTCTTTTGCTCTTCCTTCTTCAGCACGCGTGGCTGTAGCTCAGAGCAGTTCCCTCAATCTGTTTGCTAATCGGGATGTTGAGTTGGAGCAGCGGGCGATGCTTCTCAAGAGGCTGGCTTTCGCTATTTTTAGTAGTGAAGTGGACCAATACCAGAAATACCTTCCGGACATACAAGGTAAATAAGAACATGGACTACATCAGAAAAAAAAAAAACACTGTTGCTTATGACTGTCCACAAGCAGGACCATTGTCATCTAGAAGAATGGATTCCTTCTCCCTCCTGAAGGTCCTTCAGTGGCCACAGATCTCCTCCAGAGGATTTGGAACTCTCTGGAGCAAATTAGAGAGCTATGCAGGGAGGAAAGAAAGGAGACGTTTTGTTTCTTGAAGCTTCTTCATGTGAAGGGGAAATCTATTAATGCTTTGTAAGTTATATTTTGCTTTGGAGAGCATGACCTGCTCCAGGT